GTTCCATCCTTTTCGGTGATGGTTTCATCATCGTTTTCTTCTCACCGGTATCATTAATAAGCCTAAATAGTTGCTGAGTGTTAACTAGCCCTAATGCTTTCTCCATCTCAATCGCTTTCGCTACCGACCGATACAAAGGCTCCTGGTAAACTTACGTCTAATTTGATTTCGCTTTTCAGCGTGGTCACAGTCAATTGTAGTCAGTTTTCTCGCATCATTCAGTTTGCAAGAAGTTGCGGAAATCCTCTGACATTTCCTAACCTTAGGGTGTAGGCTACCAATAGTCTTAACCGCTGTTCATACAGCAAACTTGATGTCACATTAGATTTCCCCAGGATAAGCATTGGAGGCACGTTCAGATAGATGCTTAGCTAACTCCTCCAAAAATACGTACTTGACGTCCCCATCTTCCAATCGACCATAGACAGGATCTACTATCACGTGTTTCCTGTGACCAGTAAGGTGCAGACATACACGATCCTGTGCTAGCACGTGATCCGAGCCAACATTGGTAATCCAGAAATAGTTGCACACCTCCACCGATCCTCACCAACGATGTTTATAGCAATAAGATTGATCTGTGCCCATCGTTAATTTGATGTCGGCGGATTCTAACTGAGAGTATCTCTCCTTATGTTTAAAGTTAGTGCTAGTCATAAAAAAATGACTATCGGAACAAAGTTACAACAGACGATCACCGTTGGCATGCGATTCTGTAAATACCCTCAAGATGCCTTTCTGATTGGCTCAGCTTCTATACTTGAGCATTAAAGCCACCTGTTATCACGACTACATCTGAACGTTTTGCTTTCTGTAGCGAAATTGACAGCTTCTCATAGAGTTCATCCTTTAGATCATTCGGACTGCAGTCGGTGGGTGAGTAGGTGGAGATTACGAATATTCATCGCCTAGTTTTACGATTGCCGTCCCCCTTCCCAGAGGGAAGACAGTATCAGCATAGCACTGCTGATCATTTAAGAGAAACGCCTTACTGTTATCACATCCCCCTCCAGTCAGCTGTAGGACTTCGTCCATAAATCCCGATCATAGAGGTAAACCGTTTTTGTCTTACCACTATCCAACAGACCTTACTAGTATGGAACGACACTGAAGGAACAAGCGTTCCACCAGCATGGCTGGTTGGATCATAGTGATACATAAGTCCGACCACCACATCAAGGTAGTACCTGTTAGTCAGGAGTCGCTGCCTGAAATATTACCAAAACTAAGAGATATTATTGTGGGTAAATATTCATTACAAATATATTTATAATCAATCGATTCTCTTTACCATGCACACGTTTTTTATGGGTAAAGTTACTACTCTTGTGTTCTGTCACTCAACCGAATATGTGCCATTATACTAACACATGTATAAAGGCAGGGCTTTTTACTGTTTCAGTTATTCATCAAAGTGAGAACACTTTCGGTTACACACATGGCGAACTCAGTGTTGTCCAAAAGTTAGAAAAACGTGAGGAAAACCATATCCTAGTCAAAGGAGAATGAAAATTAGATTCAAACCTATATAAAACAAACTTTTAAGGTAAATTTCAGCTTAGGGATTTGTGGGCTGAATATTCGGACTTCGTATTAGCAACAACCCCGACAGGTTAGTTGCTGAAGAATCTCAGAGTCGCTACAAATGTCCGTTTGTCTACTTACACCTTCGATGAAACCAGCACGAGATGCGAATGCTAATTATGGGCAAGAATGTTGTGCATCTATTGAATGACAAGAAGAAACTCTAATATTTGACTATCAATATCTTTGAAGCATCAGTTTGTTTATGGCAGAACAAGAAAATGAACAATTTGGAATTTAGTCAAGACGTTGTGAACTTACTGAGTTATATAATGAAGTCACAAATCTGTATTGGCATAGCCTAATGAAACACGTGTCACACATGCCGAACTACAGTGTTACATGGTGCATTAGAATGGTTTGAGCGTGCAAACAACAAGAAGTGGTACTGATAAAAAAGTTATCAGTTGTTAATTTGATCAATGTAGACTACCTGGATAATATCCTAAAGATGCCAAGAATTAACGGTTAGAGATCTCAGGTAACTTATATATAAATCGGTCAGACTGAGATGAACTTACACATTTTTCCATAACCTCAGCACATTATGAATACATACATATCTATTCACACTCTAAGAATGTCATTCACTTATTTGATTTCGAAATCCTCCTTATGCTTCTGATTTTCTCTTCCTATGTTGTTGTGAACTGTGAACACTTGAAATGATACTTATTTGCCGCGTTTTCTGTTTATCCATTTGATGTAATGCTATGAGTTGCAGTGTATTAAAGCAGCTGGTATTAGAAGTTGCAATGGCACTAAGAGCAATGAAAATGATTTAAGTGCTCAAACCAAATCTAAATATTAAGTGTTTCATCTACTTTATTTATAACAGTGATCTGTCCGAATACAAGAAATAATATTATAAGTGCGAGTATCAGTTAAACCTTGACTAAACAATAGATGCGAAAATTTGTCTCGTGATCGGGACTATTACACAAATCTTTTTAGAGTAGGCTGCTATTGTCAATAACTGAGGTGAGGCTAGAACTGTCTCTTAGAAAAAAGATATTTTGCACTGAAAGCTACTGTTGTAGGTAGAGAATTGTCTTGAATTAAATTCTAGTTAAGATTTATTCCTAAGCACGAATTTAACCAACTTTTAAACTGAACTACGATTCACGTGTATCAAGAAAACGGTTAAAACGGATGGAAAAAATTGATAGCAGTAGAACCAAAGCGAGTGGATTCATAGTTACAGATTCAGAACTCTATTTCTAATACAACAGTCACTTTTCTACATGAGATTATTTTAAGTGGTGTAGTTAACAATAATTCTTTATCCTTTTATTCACAGTGAAATAGTTTTCGTATTCAAGCTTGTTTATGTTCAACAAATCAGCTTTTAAACAAAGGCAGTTGCCTAACTTTGCAATGAAGACAAGTAAAACTAAAGAAGTGGAAGAAAATAAATGACTAGAAAAGCCCACTTTACAGATTTTAATAAATTTGACTATGCAAAATTTCATCTTCAACTTCTGCAATTGTGATGCATTTGTTCAAGTTTTTCATCCTTTTTTGTCTTAGTCTCTCCCTCTAGCGTTGCATCCTTCACCCATAAACACATACTAATGTATATACGCACCTCCCACTCCCCAACTGTTTCTTGTTTAGTAAATTTTCAATCCCATTTTTTGGTTCACTTGTGCCTTAGTTGCCTAATTTGTCGTTCTGTTTAGCTAGTTTTTGTCATCCTTTAAGGATCATTCATAAATAAATCGATTTCCTTCCTTTAAATATATATATATATATATATATATATATATGATATTCATATAACGTGTAAAGTACTGAGTAAGGAAAGAAAGCCAGTTCATAAGCTTGCCGTCCTGAAGTTTTTGAGGTAAATTGGATATAAGTTTCGTATTCTTACCCCCTGCCTTCTTCAATGGGCAGTGACAGCCGATGTACTTGATCAACAGATGTTTCCTGAACGTCGGGTTTGCATATCAAATGATCAGACAAGATCTACTAATAGGAATATTTTTCCCTTGAGGTCTTACTATACCACAAAGATCTGTTGAATATTCGTAGAGAAAAAAGCAGTTGCTGTCACAGTACATACAACAACGTTATGACGGGAGTAAAAGAACAAAGTCATACCACTGACTGGTTAGAATATGATACCAGTAAAGCATCCCTCACGGGTGACGAGCAGTCCATGTTGATGCATCCTTCCCCATAGCAAACGAAGGTTAGGGAAGATCACCTCCCCCCCCGTTTCAAAAAAACACTGTTAGTTGTCTTGAGGCTTCTGGGTGCTGGTCGTAATGGATTTCATAACTGCATTCAACATCAAACTTGAATCTATTACTTCAAAACAGAAAATGCGTGACCGGCCATAAGAAGTTATCTCCTAGGCTGCATGGTCATATAATAAACTTACTACATTTTTTCCACGTACCTAAAGAGGAAACAATCTTCCATACTAAGAAAGGATGGAAAGTATCAACCGTCCTAACACCCTGTCATCACTTAAGTCCTTCTGATCACTATCAACCTCCCATATCTTTACCTTCTAGTCTTTCTTTACATGTCTACTGGTAGTAAGAAGCAAACCAACTCCAAGAGAGCTTCATCTCCACGTAACATTAATTTAGCGAAAACTGGGACTTCGAGTCTGATATTAGATTGATCCTCAAAGTATGAGAACTCTTGAGGAGTTTTAAAATGGATTAAAAAATATGCATCAGCTGCTAGCAAATCCTCATGATTTTGTAGAATAATTACAGTTGAAGACAAAAATTATTTGATGAAGCTGTCTAATAATGATCTGAATTTACATTTCGATACTTACCAGGGAATATTAATTTTTGTATTACTTTGTAAGGCAGATTTTATTTCATGGACATATATTTTTTCACTCAGTGGTACATGAGAAACTTTATATTGAACAAATTTTAATAACCAGAAAATTTATATATCTAATACTGACAGTAAAATGTATCTAGGATATAATTCACAACATAATGACACTATTCAATCCTCCGAACACATTTACTCGGTAAAATAATTCTGAGCAAGAAATAAGAAATAAAAGGATGACAAAAATTCTATAGGTGATTTCCATGACTGTTTGGTATCCGTCAGGGATACAACCAAAACCTCAGAGTACTATCCAACCGTTTACTTTACTTCAGTAACTGTTTATTCGAGTAAGTTGATACCAGTTGGAAATGTCATTTATTGAAATGTAATTTAGTGCTTTCAAGGTTATTATGCTTATCACATAACCCAACAAAATTGGATTCAATTTATGGATGTGAACTGCAGGGATATTTTCTTACAGAAAGAAGTGATACAGAGTAAAAATATCCACTCAACACATTCAATAATGATAGTCATAATGGTCATAGTAATAACAACAACAATAATAATAATTGTAATAATGGGTCCCATAGCATAAAGCTTACCTATTGCCCATTAGATCTCCTTCAGGACGGCTGTATTCAGATCCTGATAAATCATCAAGCCTGAGTATGAACGAAAGAAAGCAAATTTAATAAATCAAGATTATTTGTACTTCGCATATTATACAACCATCTTTATAAGCTACCATCATCTGGAAAAAAATTAAAAAATTTACTAACCAATGTAAAACGGTTGCTGAATTTATTCACCTTGATATGATTATGAAAAATAAATTATGACGGAAACGTCACCCATTAAAAATGCTTCATCTCAATGTGCTATGTCAGACAGGCTAATCTAACTTTATTCGATTTAAGGGTAGTTTGTGGGGATTTATTAATTGACTTCAAGTTGATGTTTGTCATGGACTGAGACATCAGCTGAAGGAAGATTGGAAACATGGGATCGATGGACAGTTATTTCGTCCGACTACGGGACTTCTCGGTAGTACACACTCGTCACCACAACCCACCAGGGATCGAACCCAGGACCTTTTGGTTTCACGGCCAGCATAGGAGAAGCTTGGTATCATGTCCAGTCTGCTGTAAAAGCAGCGTTGAAGACAGAACCCGACTCCGAAAGAGTGCCTAAAAACAGCCAGTATATATTTACAGCTTCTTCCGAACTAATGGATGCACGTGAACGCATCTCTGCAGGCTCCAAGTACAATGAATAGCAAGTGCAACCAGAAAGTAGATTGAGAAAAAGTACGTAGAGACCGCGAACAGTGGTGGGCAGCGAAGGCTAAAGAGATGGAAAAGGCAGCGGCGACTGGTAACAGTAGATAGTTATTTAGACTTATTAAGGACACTGGGGGGAAAAGGTCAACAACAGTTAGTGAGACCATAGCGAAGGACGGGCCTGGGATCCACTCGCAGAGACGAGTGGAACGATGAGCAGAAAACTTTGAGGAACAGTTTCATTGGCCTCCTGTTACTATTGCCTTGACGCTATCCAGTCGGATCCTGAATGGAACATCGGGATAGGCCCCCCAACACTTGCAGAAGTCAAGAAAGCTGTAGGTAAGTTGAAACGAGGAAGGGCAGCAGGACCAAACCGACTAACTACTAGGGTGGTTAAGGATGGTGGTAAGTTGCTCTTAGTCAGGTTATCGAAAGTGTTAACCAGTATATAGCAATCAGATACGATCACCTCTGACTGGTCTGAATCACTGATTATTCCAGTCTTTAAGGAAGGCGAAGAGTCCTTCAGTGATAACCACAGAGGAATCAGCCTGACAAATATAGTATCTAAGATTCTAGGTTCTAAAATTCTTCGATGCCTGAGTGAAGCTCGGGAACAACAGACCCGAGAAGGCCAGACAGGCTTTAGACCCGGCCGCAGATGCATCGACCAAATATTCACAGTGCACGAGACTCGAGAACACGGATACGCTCACCGATGCCCTACACTAGCTGTATTTCTTGACCTGAAGGCGGCATTCGACTCCGTTGATCGAGAAGTCTTATGGCGATGTCTCTCACTGAAAAGCATGCTGAGTAAGTACATCACTTTATTAAAGGCTCTCTACTAGAACACTTGTGGGTGTGTTAGAGCCTATGGTGAGATGTCCAGGGAGCTGTACTCGTCGAGTGGTGTCCGTCAAGGCTGCTTCCTGTCTCCATTCTTAATCAATTTTATCATAGGTATTCTTATGGAGGTCTCCCTCTCGTCACCTGACTACACAAAAGTTGACCTAAACGCAGGAGAATTTTCGTAAGACCTAGAATACACCGATAACAAGTCCTATTAGGTGAAGACGCTGACAAGATACAGTCTTCTGCACACTATGAGTGGCGATTTGAGAATGTTTGGGATGTGGTTCTCATCACCCAAATGCGAATTGTTGCTCCGGATTGGTCTTCAACGGTGCCACACAACGGCTTACAATAGAGGGTGTAATGGTCGAGTGTGTTGACCACTTCCCTAACCTGGAAAGTAAGTTGAGCCCTACCCTGGTGGCTCAGTGATCGATGAAATCTCCGCAAGAATACAAAAGGCTCGGCTGGCTTTTGCAAAGTGTATACGTGTACTCTAACCTGAAGTTATTGGTAGTAGACAAGTTGGTGACATATTTATAGGTAATTATTCAAACATCGACGCTATACACAACAAACATCAGGCATTTTCGCATTGTTACTTCCTTTATCGCAATAAAGGAAGGATTCGTCTTTTTATTTAGTCCACCAATCATCACTTAGATAAATCAGTATTTCGGTGAACTTTGTTGTCATCACTGAGTCTAGAACACATCAGTAAAGTCTAAAAAATCCAGAGCGTTATCCATTAAACTATTGGGTTACGTGTGCTTATTCTCTGTCGGCAGACTGATTACTAATGGTCGTGAGTTTCGTTGTTTTCTGCAATGATGATAGTAGATGTCACAATTAATCCTTAAAGTTTAAACGAGAAGTGGTAATCTTTTACTAAAAAGCAGAGATATCCTTCATAATTCCACCGAGAAATTTAAGAAGTGTTCCGTTGAAGGTCTTAGCAAAACACAAATGAGTATATAAGTGTCACTGTTTAGCCAATATTTAAAAATCAATATTCTGAGTCAGTCTGTCTCAGAGATACATCCAAATACAAGTTATTCAGAATGACTTAAGCCTGAATGCTGTCCTACAAGATTTTTCAGCAAAATTAAAATGTTCGTCGTAATGGTAAACACACCAACTAGTTAACAGCCAAGTTTGCAATCGAGACATGTAAGTCTAGAAAATCTGAAAGAAATGGGTACCATACAATCAGGTAGTAAGTGGAACAAAGAAGAAGAAATCACATAGAGGTGCATTTTCAAGTATAAGCGATAGAGTTCCTCACGTATCCAAATCGATTTACAAACATACAAACAAACTGCTTTTGCAAAATCGGTTACTTCAGAAGCACAACAATAACTCAGGTTAAATGGACACGAGAACACAGAACAGAACAGAACTGAAGTTAAGGCAAGCTTGTCTAGCTGGGACCGGTTAAATTACAGAAGTATAGCTTTTGTATGAAATGGTTTATCTAGAAAGTTTCGAGCTTAGACATTATCAACACAAAATCTGGATTTAATTTAGAGGTTTGTGAGATGAATTGGTTTCGAGGTAGCATTTATCATAAACTGATATCAGTCAGATAACTACTGAAAACCTTAGAGAACTAGATAGCTGTTTCATCCTGGTATGAGACTCATTGGCAGCGCACACCAACGATTCGTCAGAGTTCGAGCACAGGACTGTCAGGTCTCGCGGTGAGCAGTTCACCGTTCAGTCAAGTCAAAATTCAAGTTTTCCAACTTCTGTTGGTTTGCGACATAGCGTGACGACCATCTAATGCCACCGCAGAATTTATCCTCATATCCAACCTGGCTGATACCGCAAGTCAGTTTCTCATTGGAACTTCAGCATAGTATTCACTGCGAACTGAAATCAAGTAGAGAACCACTGAAAGCCCGGAAGCACCAGACAGATGTTCCATTCTAGCGTACAACTTCTCAGAAGTGTGCAGCCACGAATTTCATCATTATAAAAAGACATGCATCTTGTGTCCCAGACTAAAGTATTACCCGAAAAAGTGTATATATTAAAAAAGACACGAAGATTGAACATGAGTTAAATAACTCATTGAGAATTCAAAGTAAAACGTGATTATCAAAGTTTATGAATACCTTTAAAAGTTTTCTTTTAAGTTTACTAAACTGAATAAAATCTTAGAACTCACCAGTCAACACGATATCCATTTCGCTCTGAACAATGTGAGTACTGGTGGTGCTTCTGTTGGTTGTCATCTGAATATTCTGCATCTGATGTGAAATGATTATTGTCTGAGTTATGATTACGCCAGTAGGCTCCATTATCAATATCTACATGATTGGAATCGAGAAAAATCTGCTCATCATCCCATTCATAATCACCAGTATACTGACGATGAGAAAATGGTCTATTTGTATTCACTGAAATATACGGTCGACTATTATAATACAACGGTTCTGAACCAGAATCGAATTCACTATCGTTATACAATGGAAGTTGTTCGCGTGAACCATGTTGTCTGGTAGGGGAAAAATGTTGATAATTTTTTATAGTTTCCAATGATTGAGCATCAGAGTCGTCGGTTGTAAACTGTTTATGTCGAGTAGGTGGACCTGTAAAGTATGAGTTAATAAAATTACTTTGAATAGTTCTTCGCATGTCAATGCAAAAATGTAAATGACTTCACAATATTTGCATTAAATACGAGCTTTAAACTGAAAAATATATTCGCGTTCCATGATAAATAAGTGGATTTGATGGAGCACACGGTGAAACAGTATTATTTACTGTGTCCTTATGTGCACAAAACTTCGAACGAGAATATTCTAGGTACTTAACACTGTTTGCCATCAGACAAAAAGTACCTGTTAAAGGAATGTGTTGTATCGGTTTTCTGAATTCCGAACTGATAGGAAGCTGCCTAAATCGAAATCAGCGTTCTAAGTCATCCCCTGATAAGGTAGAAGTTTTGGATTTCAACCTTTATTTAGTGTTACACACTATAGTCAGGAAAAACCCTGTTGGACAATTTTGTCCAACAACTGAGCAATCAAAATCAGAATAAAAAACTTCTGACCTAATGGTTTTATATGTTGATGAAAACTGTATATAAATGATGTATTTTTGTCAAATCAGCCGGTCTTTGTCTTCGGACATTAGCAGCTCAGTGAAGTATAAGGCTCTGAGGGAGAACAGCCGTTATTTGCATCCAGTTGAAGTGTCTCACTGTGTAAGTAGCTTTCTTGTATTTCGGATTATTCTGTCAGTCATTTCACAAACATCCTTTTAGATGAACGTGGCTTCTTATATGTTTTGCATCCAGCTACAACATCTATACTGCGTCACAAACCAAGTACTGAAGTTAGGAAACTTTTATAAAGAGTATGAAATCAACTCATATCATTTCTGCATTTTTAGGCTAATGTAATTGTAAATATGAACATAAAATTTAAGAAACGGATAACAGACTTGACATAAATAGACAGAATACTAACCCAACATAAAATCTGGATGATTCGAAGGGAGTCTATCATGATTAGGGATCAAGTAATTGGTGGATCGATAGTGTCGGGAAGACTGTTTCATATAATCATCATAATGAAGATTAGGTTGTCTACTTTCAGAATCACTCAGTGGACAGTACTGTATAGAAAATCTATTCCTCGAATCCAAAGATTGATTTGGGTTGAATTCATCCAAATGACTGGGAAATGCACTCACTGTGCCTTTTTGTACACCAGAGTTCCGCATATTACCATTAGGTAACAGATTTGGTAACTTTCGTTTTTCATAAATTTTCTCAAGATGTGGATCTATAGTTATTCAAATGAAAACAAAGTTAGTTCAAACGTAGACATTCCTTTTCACTTGAAAAACAAAACGTTAAACTTATAAGAAATGTTTCGCAAACTACTTGATACTTCGTTCTCTCTTCTACTGCAACTTTCGCTTTGAAGTAAAACATCTCTAATTCATTGAACAGGTTTCAATTGATCTAACAACTATGTCAGACCTATCAACTTAACAATCAACAAAGTGTGAGTTTCTGATGAAAAACATTGAAATTTTTATACACCTTGAAAATATGAAGCGATAAAGAAAAGCAAGTATCTGCGTTTGATATACTGTAATTATACTGTAATTATAGATGTTTGCGTAATCTTACTTAGATGGAAATGATGAATGTTATTCATTACATTTCATATTACGAGCGAATATACAACTATATCATTTTCTAGTGTGACGACTGTATAGTTAACTGAAATGTTTCAAAGTTAACTACAAGTAAAATGACGGGAAACACTACACAGCGAATATATTCATGTTCCAGCACAAAGTAATGAGCTACAACGCCCGTTGCGTGAGTGTTAGTGACACTATCTGGCTGATCAAAGCTAAGTATGAGCAGCAGGCTTGGAATTATTGATGAGTAAAGTCAATTGCCAAGACAAATGAGTTATAGTCCCGCTACTTATGATACAGGTGATATTTTTGTCATCAGTAGTAGAAGCCGACTGTATCACAACTTGAGAATCTTCATGTATCTTATTGACTATAAAAGATTGAACGGAAGGTATCATACAATATTTTCAGTTGCATCTCGTTAAAAAAAGTCATCAGATAAATTATAAATCAACTTTTATTGTTTCCAAGATAACAAACTACCCCAGAGTTCAGATACGAGCAAACCATGCTCGCCCTTGAAGCTACTGAGAAAAACGGCATCACGTTAAAGTTGTGTTGCATGACAAAAAGCTGATGTTAAGCTTTGTTCTTTTCAGCATGACTGTTTTTCTGTACACAGTAGTTTAGCCGGGGAGTATACAGTTAGTGAAGTTAGCTTCTTTTTACGTTCCACCCTTTAATTTTCAAAATATCCATTAATCAATAAGCTCAGAAATATCTTTGAATCCAGCCTTTGTTTTAGCTTTAATAAGAAATATCCTTCGCGTAATAGTCCCATTTTCTGAAAAACTTATTTAAAATATTGTAATTGTACTTATTGTTACCTGTAATTTCTCATTGTTATTCTGGATCAAATTGATCAACCCCTGTTGGCATATAGGACTCTATGAGAATGCCTTGATACTGCCTGATTATCCATCATGTTGGAATTTTCTTGATAGTAGTTAGCAGTAGGATTCAAGATACACATCTCATCCTATTTAGGACTCGGTAGCTGGAAACACCAGTAACCCAGTGACTGGTGGTGTTCCCACTGACTCAAACCCTATACTCATTGCTTCAAACGCCAAAGCGATGTCCAGTAGGCTACAGGTGCACGACAGTCACCTCTTTTGAAACGGGTATTGGCTATTATTATTTACTGATGATTGTAATTTTCCGTCATGTCCCATTGGATGACGCTTCAGCGTTTAAGCGATGGGTACGAGGTTAGAGTGCGAGCGAGTCATAAGTAGCATGAAACACATATCCTAAATTCCACCGCTAGCCACCACCACCAAGTAAATTACAACATAATGAATAGTCTTTTTATTTTTTGTATGATCCTAGTTTCCAACGTGGATGACAGAAAACGTACAACCATCAGATAAAACTTGATGTCACCATTTGGTGTGTAAGTTTTGTCGTGAAACAACCCATACATTAAATGTGGAATTTGATGAGATTGCAAAATAAATACATATTTTCTCTAATCATAACCTTTTCAATATGAAATTTAAGTATTTATGCATTCCAGGTTAAAAAGGATTTTGGAAAAACACATAGTCCTTCATTTATTGATACCTGTAATTTCCCGTTGTTATACTAGATCGAAATGATTGACGTTTGTTGGTATATGAGCTCCTGTGCAGATGCCTCGATACGGTCTAGATATAAATTGAACGGACCAGCAAACATTTGAACAACCAACGCAAGAAGTTACGCGAGTCTTGAAATAGTCTTTTCTTCAAATAACCCACATTCAAAAAAGTTTAATAAACATAATTTAATGGTGACCAATTTCAGATTTTCTACAGACAGAAGTTATGGCTATGGGTAGTCCGCTTGGTCCCATATTCGCAGACATATTCTCAAGCCACTTAGAGAATGCCAAACCAAGTGATGCCATCGAACAGACAAAATTGTATTTGAAATATATAGATGATACTTTCATCATATATGAGAGCGAAGTCCATGCAAGGAACCTACTCAGATATTTCAGTCCAGTTCATTCAGATGTGAAATTCACATGTGAACATGAAACGTTAGATGGAATAAATCTCTTAAGTTTATGTATTTTAAAAAATGAAGATGGTTCTATACTGCACAGAATTGATCATAAGCCTACTAAGACCGGTCAATATTTGCTATTCAATAGTTTCTGTCCCATCGCTTATAAAAGAAGTCTAAACTTTATTTATAAGGGCAACCCGACTATATTCCAAGAAAGTCATAGAAAATGAAGTGGATAGTATACGAAAAACTTTGTTAGGTAATGGGTATTCTATAAAGTTCATTAATAAGTACATTAAACTTAAAACTAGAAATTAAATGATACAACTGTACCAAAAAAGGAAAGTGTTCATTAGACTACCATTCACAAAAAAATCGCTAACTGAATGCATGCATCGTACTAACTTATCCAGCTGCGAAATTAGCAGTTGTTTATGACATAAAGATTATGATCAGATAAATTAATCTATATATGAGACCTCCGCATGTTAGTTTCAATTGTACTTATTTATTTACCTGTACTTACAGTAGCATGTATGTCGGAAGAACGGAGCGGGTTCTTACTACCCGAATCTCTAAACGTCTACCGAAAAGCCTGTCAATGAGAAGTGCAGGGCTACCTAGCAGTGCCAATGGTAAGCAGATCCTTGATACAGGCCATGTCACAGATCCAAACATAGCTTTAAAGGTAACTAATAGACAAAAATAAAATGGTAGATTCCTACGTTATGCAGAAGCAGCAACAATCCTTCGACTGAGTCAAACTTATATGTACAAAAGGAGTTTGTGGTTCACTTTCCATTGCCTTGGTGAGTTGTTCTTTCCCTACAGCTTCGTTTACTATTTTATTCCTTTATCTCATTGTCTTATATATTATTCTCAAACATTCATATTCCCGTCATTTCCGCTTTACTTTAATCCATTATATCTTATTCATGTTTGTTAGGACACCCTTTCCCATTCCCCATTCGTTAACTCATAAATTGTGCACACCATCTTTGTTGTTCTCCCCTTTCATCAAAATTCTTACCACTTTGAGCTGTAATCATATTCCTGTACTACTGATCGATTTTATAGTCTGATTTATGTTACTCTTTCACTTTATTGGTTGATTAGATCGTGAACTTTGTCATTCATCTCTGTTCCCATCCACATATACGTACTGATGTTTAGGTGTGAAAAACGTATTTCGTGTTAATTTTGCTGCTGAAATGTATCAAATGAATAATGCTGCACACTGATAGCTTACTCTGAAAAAATTAAAATTTAGTGCATATGTAGAAGATTTACAGTATACGAAGTGATTCATCCTACAATGTTTGTCATTCTTGCTTTGGAAAAATTGAAATTTCTTAGTGATAAATTTTCATTAGTTCATATCTCGTACGCTTGCGCAGTCATACGATGAGAAATCAGCATCAATGTAAATTTATTCCTTATATAACCCCAAGCATAGAAAGGAAGTTGGTGCATGTCTGCTTCGATGAATGGTGCAAATAAATGGATATAAACAACACTGAGAGAAAAATATTCAAACCTACCACTGGGCGTTTCAAATCTAACAGTGGCTAAACATGAGTGTTTAGTGGGTGTTTTTGTTCCAATTACTTGTCCATTCTGAGTGATAACTTCAGCATCAAAATTCATCCACATTCCTGGACCATCCTTAATATGAAGACAAATGAATAAATTAATTAATTGAAATTCACCTAGAAAATTAGGAAAGTCATTAGCTATGAGATCTACATAACTGTTGAATAAACATACCTGTCAGGAAGAAAATCTTCTAAACAATGCTACATGGATATTGACATAAACGTCAGGAAAATGTCAATGTTCATGGTATCAAGCTTGATATCGATACGCTTCATGGACAGGTTTGGGATTCATAGTACAATGAACTACGATTATCAACACCGTGAACTGTCAGAATTTGTTATACCAAACTATCAATGCGGTTCTCATTCATACTACTCTCAAATATCTTCATACAATTCTACATACAATTCGCAAATAGCTTACATTCAACCTTTGTTACCTAACAGAAAGAATTAACTCATACCTGATTAATAATCCAATATACTACTGCAATTGCGTTGACAAGTGTTAAGAAGAGATTAAAAGAAAGACGCCCCTTTGTTTTTGGAATGGAGAAGTCAATATAGGAATATGAGTACGTCCTTGATTCTGGTATTTTCTCCTGGGGCCGACACATCTCAATAACTCAGAATCCTATCATTTTCAGGAAAACATTTCGTATTTAGCTTTCTTTCTAACTTCTTTAATTTGTTGTTAAGGGGTACCAGAAGTGAGGTCCGAGGTATAAAAAATTAGCAGCTAGTGAACACACGTAGTTTAGCTAGAACTTTTTAGTGTCTTCAGTGTTAAAACACCCGATTTTCAACGAAACAGTACCAGGTTCAAACTTACTTGGATTACTTTATTTTGCAAAACTAATTAAAACCTTTGGCGGTCAGATAATGTGTATTACATATAATGAAGTACATGACCTTGGCACGATTATTCAGTGGTGTCATTTCTTTATTTGATTGACGTTAAAAGTTTTCTTTCTGAATCTTCACTATTATTTGACGTTTTCATTCTAAAACGGGAAGCGTCGTCTGCGTGAGCATACCAAAGTAAAGCTGCAGTTGTCTAACGTTTTCTCTAGTAACCTTGATTTGAACTCTCTTGCCTTATAAAATATTTAGTTGACAGACGAATTATCCTATTCCAATCCAGCTGCTGAGTGGTAACGTGATCACTGTGAGACCTGACGATCCTGAGCTTGTTTCTTCGCGGCATCATAGATATGAACTGTGGGCAATTTTCATACTATAATAAAACAGCTGCCCAGTGTTCTCAAGTTTTCAATGGCTCTTCCACTGATGTCAGCTCGTGAGAAATACTAACCTGAATTATGGGTATCTCTCTGTTCATGTGTTGACTTTATCTTACTAATGCATGAATAAACTATGCTAATGTCAACACACTAAATGACCACCTACTGACCTCAGTGTCATGTTTTTAAAAATTTCCTGGAAAACTCAGAGTTCCCTCTGTTTGATATTTCTAAATCTTCCGGTAGTTGTACCTTTGACTATCGATATGTATTGTTATGTCTTAATGTATCCTTTCACTTCCCTAATAAACAATATACCTAAAGCTGTGGTATTAATCTTTCATACACATGATTTTACGGACACCATCAGCATCATTCTTTAACTCACCTGACGATAACCTTAAGCGTTTCATTGGTTTGAAAGTAAAGTTTGTTACGTACATTAGCTGACCTAGTGTTTAGTTGCTAGAAATATGAAGCGGCCTAAAAGTTACCTCCTAATTTGGAAATCTAGCATTAAACGAGTATAGTTTTTTTGTCCCGAGAACAATAAACCACGAAAACTATGTTTCTAAGCTAAAAATGTCTAGTCTAACAGTGAGAAATCAAAATATCATGTACCCCTGAAATGTGTAGAATAAAGTAAACAATCCAAGAAAAAATCATGGTAACTACATACAACGAGGAAAGTAATCAACTGCTGTTGTACTGGATTGTTTATTTGGTAAAGCATTCGGTGAAACAGTTTTATTTACTGGATGATTAGAAGGAACTAATTCTGCTCAAAACGTCATCCAGTACGTAATGCTGTTTCATTATGTACTATACCAAGTAGACAATCTAATATGGCATTACACCCCACAACAGTACCCATGTTTTACACTTACACTACTGGCATGCTGGCCTACAGAGTAAATATTCTTATGAATACGAATAAACTAGTGAATTGAACAACGAAAGTTAGAGTATGAAAAAGGAAAATGAATTTATTCTCATTTTCTGAATGAAAATTTATAGACTAAATTTTAGAGAAATATTTTTAGAAAATTCTCTTAAATTCCTTCCCTTCATCTAAGCATAAGGATAAACATGAAAAGACAGATATATAAACATATATATATTACATAAACAACAAATATTAACTGATAGAGATTATACCAATTATTCATTAGACTCTAGCTGAACAAAGTAGCTTGCAAGCATTAACATCCATGTTTCGATAGCTGACATCTGCAGTAAGCAAGCAATAGTTAACAGAAATGCATAATTTGCTTATTTTTCGAGAGGGCCTCAGGAAATAAAAGTATGAGAAGATACATAGACTCCATTTGTTTTGACAGAACAGTAATTCATAGGTTATCTCGTCAATGTTAAATTCTCTTATTTGAACAACTAAATGATTAAATTTTCTCTTACATCACACTTAGCACTGGGATTGATACAAAGCACACAAAACAACTGTTTTGTAATTATTTAATGAGTGAAATAGGTTTCTGACACTAACAAGCCTGAAATTCAAGAAGCAATAACAAAATAAGCAACTCACATTCGAAAATACATGAATATAAAACATTTTGTGCCCAAGTGACAAAAATCAATGATTAATGATTGGTTCAAAAATAAAAAATAGAGTTCTCAGATCCCCATCGGTTAAGCAATCAAAGACATAGTGATTTCTGGCTGAACGTGAATAAATTATTTCGTGAGACTGTGAAGTAGCCCTACCACAGATAATTGAAACTAGTTTTCCGCTTCCTAAGATAAGGTGAAATTCAATCGGATATGCTTGATGAAACTGAAGGAAATACTACAATGCAAACTTTATTGATGGAATTCAGTTAGCAGTTGAAGGTAATTAACTTGATACTAGCTACTATTCAGTGACTTAGTGAAGTGTTAAATCAAGTCTTATATGCAATCTGCTATACCTGAATACTTCAATGGTTATGATTTCGACTGTGGTGTTAAGTGCTTTTTGGTCTGTCTCTACAGCTGGCAGATGCGCAGTGCTTTCATCAGGCCTTCTCTAATCCCCTTTTGATCAAACTATTAAACAATTTCATTACAAAATGCTGTTTTTGTATGACTACTGTTGCGAGGACGTAATGTACACAGAAAATATGAGGAATGAGTGGATCATAGTTAAAATCTAATCAATGGTATAGAAAAACTTAACTTCCAGTTTACTGTAACTCGAACATAAACTAACCTTATTGGAGTGTAGAATTTTATTTAGAGGTAGCCAAACAACTCCGAGCAGCTTGTCCCATAATAAACCTTTAGATTGTAGTTCTATCAGGAGGCCGCCATCCATACGATCTGTTTCGCTGAGGAAAAGATTATGATTTTGAAATAATAAATAAAGTTTCTGAATGTATGTACAACGCTTGGTGTATTCTTGCACTACATGATACCTTGTTATATTCCCTTCTCGCATGAACTCTATACAATATTTACAGACACTGACTGTCAAAAGATTATATGCGAGTTGCGTAGTCTTCATTTCATAGTATCGTACAACAATATCTTCCGCATATCCAATATCGAATAGTCTATCGTTTAGCATATCTACTTCACAATATAACTGCTTCGGAGCTGTTTCAAGAAAGATATTAATTTCATAGTTAAAGAGGAATGACAAAGTTGAAAAATCCTACCTAACTTCTCTGCTAGTTTAGAACAGCGAAGATAGGTGGCTGTACGCCCTTAATCTACTTGAGGTGTTTTTTTCAAATTATTTGATATGTTGATCAACTTTCCCTCTAAAACAAGTAATTTCACAGTACAGATCCATTCATCAAAGACAGTCATTATATCGAGAAGAAATAGTTATTGAAGCAAAATAACACAAGGAGACGTTCATAACTTGGATAACACACAGTTTATTTCCCGCAAAACAGTTTACCAGCATGTAGAATATGACATAAGCTGGTGTTTTGGATGGAGTTCGTAACAAACCAATATCCTGATGATTCTCACACACACCATGCAAATGGTTTTTAAAGATGGAGTTTGATCAGGTCAAAAAACTGTAATCCGCCGAGCCCGTACTTGGACATCCATGCAGTAGGTAGTGAGGGCTAATAATACTAACTGGCTACCCAGACGATAGATGAAGATGATAGAAGATAGATGAAGAGGATTTCAAACCTGTGACCCACTGATCCAAAGTCGAGTGCCTATACCATTAAGTTACAGTGTATCCAGGTAGTTACTGTCGACCGTACATCTTCATGTACGCTATTATCATAAGAAAGGTAGCACTGATAAGAGTACACACCTTTTCACTGATGAAATCTGTCAAGTTAGTCGATTTTGCAGAATAGTCTAGTACATGAAAAAATAGTATGAGATATAGCAAAAACAGTATTAAAGCATTAGTGAGTACATAATGCGAGATGTTTTGTAACCTAATAAAAATAATGGCATCGCTAGGATAAAGAGCAATATTTTTTTAATGTAGTTGAAAAGTAATAAGAGTGAATGCTTACAATGTAAATTCTTCGTTCCATTTCGGTGTAGTCCCTTTGACTGGTTGAGTAGATGAATGTGCCTGTCTTAATTTGACACTAATATACGTATTCAGAGATGAATCCGAGCTTTCCAAACGCGCCTCAATAACTTGAGAAAATTGACAAAATAATACACGTAATACACGATTCAAAAATTAACAAAGAACAAAATTAATGTGAAGTTTCGAATTATTATTATTATCTGTTGTCTTAGGAACATAAATTTAGACAACAGTGCTACTATTTTTATTGTCATTCATGTCGGTTACTTTTTGTTTCACTGATAAAGTAGACATATTTAAGGGACAGTGTTCTTCAAATAGAGTTAAATTTAAACTGTCATTTACGATGTAAAAATGACGAAAATAAGAGCTAGTTTTCATGCATATGATAAGAAAGGAAGAAACACCCATTTTTTAACAGTTTATAATGCTTTAATTTCTGTTAGTGGCTAAGCATAAGACAACACGAAGTGACTGCAACATCACCTAGCACAACTTCAGGTCAAACTTCATATCTCAGTTTTCCGCCCATGACGATCCTTTGAACGCTATCAGAATAAATCAATATAAACCAACGAAAGTCAATCAGATCTCCTTTTCTCATTCAGACAAACCAGGAATTTATGTCAAAGCAGAAGCTGCTTAAATGTCACACTGAATGTAAATCTAAGAGTGTTATTCATGACTTATGTGCAAAAGAGTAACAGTCAGTATTTGAAAAACGATGGTGTACACCTGGGAAACATGTGTAGATTTAATTTTGCATAAAGCATTTAATTACGTCATTATGTAAATAATCATGAACATCGATCCTACTACAGTTTAAAGCTAGAAAACAATAAGAGGTGCGACAAATCTATATGATAAAATAATTACTACCGCTAATCGGTACCACACAAAAATTGGGAAAATAAGATGAATTTCTGTTACACAAGAGGATGATGTATGAGCTAGGTGTTTATTAAGACACAATAAAAAGTCTGAACAGCGAAAAGTATTCATGTTTCTCTATGTGCTTACTTCGTTGAAGACATTAATGAACATATAGGCAGGCTATCTATACACATAAGTTCAAAAAGAAAATGAAGAATCAATTTGCATAGCGTGACAAGATAAAACATAAAATACAGTAAGTATCCACAAGGGGATGCACGCTACGAATTCGGTGCCCAAAATTTTCAGCGCAACTCACTAGTTACCAAGTAGTAGAGTAGCTTTCTAATTAAGAAACCAAAGTGACCAAAAGAACTTAAGAAACATGGTCATTAAGTCTTGCTTTCAGAGTAACTCCAACAACTTAATATCTGAGTATCTATCATGATGTGGTATTTTCTGAGAGAGAACCAAGCACACTTTCCAGAGATTTTATAGGGGGGTTATAGAGGTTTTTCCTTCGATTTGCGTCTTTAACATATTTGAAACGAAATAAAAGAAAATCGTAGGTAGTAAGGATGAGGCGGTTACATTTCTGAAACAAACAGTACTTCATTCATCTAGTTGGGCTGGCTAAAATAAAGAGAACGACTAATTACGGAAAACACTAACCTTTTATTCGCCAGTGTAATTTAATAAACACATAATATAATCAGATTACCTCGTATCTAAATAATATATGAGAGTAACCTACTAATAACTTCTCTGCCCTACTTCTAGGATGCATAGTCGCAAACCATTTATATACCAACTAGTTGTGCTTCGCAACTAGATGGGGATGATTTGAACACGGGAAGACTACTTTCTTCGATTTTTAGCTCATTAGTGTTGTATTTGAAAGGAATATGGCTCGAACAGAAAAACTGTTTTCATCACCCTAAAAATGACCAACTGCTTAGACAGAATGGTAATACTTTCAACCAAAGTGGATGTTTACACGAGCTTGCATTTATTTGTACCATATTTACCACCGAATGAAAATTGTCCAGATGATTGCTTCAAAATAACACCTTTTCAGTAACATATTCATGATTTAATACAGTAAAAAGGTTCACTTACAATGATACTCAATGCCAACATTAAAAGATATTTTACTGACAATCGCTACTGCCATTTTTATCCTATATAAGTTCTAATGGAGAATTCACGCACGATGTGGTACACTAAGTCTTCGCAAGAAAAATTTCGATGTGAGAAACTCTGTATCCATGTTGCGCCTCCAGAGGATACAGACAAAAGTGAGTCTTCAGTTAACAATTTTCGCTACCCTAAAATCCAATGACAACGGTCTGTATATTCAGATGTATCCCAGAGCAACAGCTAGGAACTTTCATCGTAGTCAGCAAAACATATTCTCTCATAAGAAAAATAACTGGGCGAGATTATCTGTGGTCACTAACAACTTCACCGGCTAACAATGAGCTTTTTTATAGTAAATATCTGACAGTAATGGTGGATAAGAGATAGGAGTGGGATTCAGGACGCATATTTCCTCCGGTTTTGCACTCATCTGCTTGATGTACCCATCTCTCAGTGAGTGATGCTATTTGCACTAAGACATTAGTTAGCAATCCAAGCAAGTAAAACAACATTCTTAGTCTCCTAAAACGCAGTCGTCACACTCATATTTGAGTTTGTAATAGGCATCTCAAGCCAGAACTCTGGAATCTTGACCTATGGATGTATGTTGTATTTATAAGACAAAGATAAAGGATTCGAGTGCATTTGCTCCTTTGACTTCACTCAGCCAATGGTGTGTTTGCAGAATCCACCTTACTAAGTTCCTGAAATTCAATGGCTAGCTGTCATGGACTAGTCGCTGTAGGAATAGCAGAGCATAGTCAATCGAAGAGGCATCCTACGGGCATTTACGGAGACCCATGTTAACATACAGACAACGGCGAGTATCTTTTTAGATTCTGCTCTGACAAGAGTAAAATTGTCTCGCATGACGTTCACCGACTTCAAACCAACGATGGACACAAAATCCATCACACTCCTACAAGCCATCACTTCAGTGGGCTGGTAGACGACTGCCACTCGTTCTGGAATACTTGTTTAGGCTCCGATCATGCATTACTGCAGGCATCTGTATGTTTCCACCTTACTGGTCACAGGAAACAAGAGGCAGTGAAGCCAATGAGTCCTCCGTTAGGAGATGAAAACTTCAAATATACATTGACGGAGATGGGTAAGCATCTATCTGAACATGACACTAACCCTCAACCTGATGAAGCATGGTATAATATTCACCATGCTATACAAACAGTAACAAAAACAACTGCAAACACACATGCTAAGGTCAACTAATCCAATGGATTCCAGCAACAATATTCAAACTACTAAGTGCGAGAAGACTCGTTCCAGTTGATCTTTACCACAGTAAGAAGAAGGTAAGAAAGCACCTCAAATATAAATTCAATGAGAGTATTCGCAATCATCAAGACCAGTGTTGATGACAAAACGAGAAAGATAGCCAAGGCATCAGAATCAGATAATACCCGACAGTCATTCGAGCCTAACAATGATACTGACAAGAAAAAAACAACTGTTGGTAAGGTCATCATGGAAAGGATGGGATCCTGATCACCTCTCATGACAGACAGGTACAACAGTGAGCAGATCAATTTAAACAACCACTGAAATGGACTACAACCATGCTTCATTCACCCACAATCAAACCCCAACCTGAATCAGGTGTAGATGGTGATAACCCTAACTGTAATCAAAGTTAAGAGGGCTCTTGCAAACGACAAGCAATGCCGAGTTACAGGACCTGATGGCTTACAAACAAATGCCTTGGAAGAGAGAGGAAGTAAACTGCTGAGTACAGCAACAAAGGTACCAGGTGCTGAATGGGAATCAGAAGTAGTGCCATCAGACTGGTCTACTTCACTGATCACTCCTCTCTACAAGAAAGGAGAGAAGTTCTCCTGTGACAACCACTGGAGAGTCAGTTTGATTAACATCAAGCCAGATTCACAGAATCTATACTTATCAGACTCCTCACTGGAGATCGAGAACAGCAAACACGAGTACACCATACAGGTTTCACATCTCAACGACAGCACATCAATCACAGTTTCACCCTTCGATGGGTAACAGGACACAGTCACACACCTACCAGCGGCCGACACTTCCCATATTTCTCGACCTGAAAACACCAATTGACTCTGTCGACCATCAGTTCTTGTCGCAGTGTCTAAATGCGATGAAACAAGTACCGAGCAAGTACGTAACTCTGAACAAAGCTCTCTACTCGAAGTCACGCCATCGTGCAAGGGTTTGTGGAGAGTTTTCATCAGAATTAATGACAACTAGTGGTGTCCCCCAGTGACTCTAGCTTCCATCATTCCTGTTCAACGTCTTTTTTAGGTATATTATTAGACATCATCGTGGGGACCTCAGACTCCACACTAATTGACCTACTGTCTAGAGGGTATCTGGGTGGCTTACATTACGCAAACGATATTGTCTTGTTATTCGAATATGTTGATATATTTCAGCGTCTTCTCAATGCCGTGATCAGAAACCTGAACATGCTACGCACGCATTTCACAACTGTCAAATGGTAGGTGATGTTGCAGGACTGGTCTGCAACTACTCACAGTCTATAGACAGGAGTGAAGTGGTAGGATGCGTTAACCACTTCACCTACTTGAAGGGTTGGACCAGCTCGAACGAACTGTTTGCTGACGAAATCTCAGCTTGGATACAGAAGACTTCTTCACATTTGTCAATCTATGTCATCTATGGCACTGGTTGGTCAGATATCCGACTTATTGTAAGAATATGAGCATACTCCAATGCAACTGTGATGGAATCACCGTGTGAACAAAGTTTTGTTCTGGCGTAGAGCATTATGCAAGGCAGGGAAGTCAGTTGATGAGGTTGTAAACCTTTCTTGACTAAAATGGCTTGGACATGTGTTGCGCACTTCAAACCGTCGACTACCTTGACATGCAACACTACGCGAATTTGGAATGGTTTAGTATGAAGGCCACACTAGCCAGACCAATATGTATCACCAGCCCACGAAGCCTATTACTCTTGGTCTTAATCATGTGGGAAGGCGTTAACTGTCTGTTTAGGTTTCTCGAAACCATAAGAATCAATGGTTGGAGGCCCCCGGTTATATGTCTATAAATCGGTCGCTGTAGCGTATATTTATTGACACTTCGACATTGTTTGAAAGTTGAACACTTTCTCTTAACATTACTTTGCATATTCCTATAAGACCCTCCCCTTATATACTTTAGTCTACTTTGATATCAATCTTTTCCTATTCAGCTTTTCATTAAACGCTTATTTGAAGGTTTGCAACTTAGTCCGATGAGCCTATATGCAAGGTTACACATTAATTTAGTCGTTCCCTGTAAATATCTGGGTTCGAACCCGAAACATGCAGCTTCAGACGCCAGAGCGTCAAATACAAAGTTACTAGGTTATTACATCCATTCGTTTTCGCTGGAAATGAAGTGAGATCATAGTTTTCAGTCGTTGATTGGAACAAATTGATCAACTGCTAGTGACAAGCGTTATCTTGTTTGGAAATTTCAATATTACCGGCAATTTAAGTTCGATGGTAATGATGGATAGTGACTAGCAATAAAATCTACGATGCGCGCTTTATTTTGCTTGGCACTCATCAGCTGGATATACCAGTCACTCAGTGAGTGATGTTCTCACCCATAATCATAATAAAGTCTTGATATATTTAGAAGCGGCAAGTTCTGCTCAAAACTTCGTCAATACATAAAGGGTGTTTCAGTGTAATGCGTGTAATAAGTGAACCACATTGAAACGCAGACAGCTTATCTTACGGTCGTGACTTTCTTAAGTATTTAGCATCCTAGCTGAGATAAACTATTATAGGGCAACAGTTTAGTTGATTGAAACACACAGTAAGTAATACCATTTCTTAAGACGAATTGTATCAACAGAAACTGATATCTGTAGATGCATCCAGTTACGTAACCAGTTTCGCTTTCAACTAAACATTTTGTTAAAATTTAATACAGTGTCATAACTTCACACTTATATACTTTCAAAGAGCTATAGAGATAGTTTTTTCACCATGAACTTAAGAGATAAGAGGTTGCAAAAAAAGGATGGTTGGTTGTCGCCCAGACATATTCCATTAACAAACTGAAAACATAAGGCGTAGGTGGTGTTATTTTGCATCACAAACAGCCTGCAAGGCAGGTAATGACGTAGATTTCTTAAAAGTATTTCCAAGTTTTGGATCGTTCGACACACAGCATTTAATAACGTCCTGATGATTATCTTTTGTGAGTCAAAGGTGATTACATTTCTGACAAAGGACAATAACTTTACTGACCCTAGTTACTAGACAAAGAAAAAGACAGAACTTTCACAACAGTACATATGAGAATTTGAGGATATGAACTCAGCTGGGTACTATAAAAATATTGAGATGAAGTAAATTCTGGGAGATTTAAGTTTTTATTTCCTCAAATATCAAGATGTAATTGGTGGTCTTGACACTGATTTTTCTGACCAGTCATAACCACACGACACTCCTTATATGGTTTAAAACGTAGGTAGGTAGGTCACTGAACTAAAAGTTTCAGGCCGTTTGACTAACTAACACATACTGAGAAAACTTAGGTTTCGTAATGTCTGCGGCAATCATCAACAACTGGGATGTGTGTTAAATTATCTCACCCAAAATCCAAACTTTATATTTAGCGACACATTTGTATAGAAAAATAAACGACTGAAAGACGAAGTGCCTGGAAATCCCCTTTATAGAGCGTCCAACGCTTCATACATATCATGAGGCTAACAACTTCAAAAAATATAAAAGTTGGTGGGTTTATCATCGTATGAAACGCAAAGTGGAAAAATCAAGGTGAGGGACCAAAGCAGCTAGTAACTTTTACAGATCTTGAAGTACATTACTATAAGGTCTTAAACAACATTTTGTTCATTTGAAAGATCAAAACCAAAACAAAGAAACAAATATAAATGAAATATATTAGTAAAATCCGAATAGGTAGAAAAATAAATTTCTGACGTTTCACGATCTTGTGGAAATCGCTTCATCAGAGAAAGAAGTTGCGAAACGTCAGAAAATTATTTTTCCACCTCATTCGGAATTCTCAAATACATTTCATTCACAATCCGTTTACCCAGTGGTCAACTTATTCAAAGAAACAAATACTTGTTCTTATCAATTTTTCCATGATTTTTACTGAAAGTGTTCAAGCTATACAAGCTTCAGATTATTTACTTAAGCTATCAGATATAGAATACGTTCCGCAGCAAAAACTAAATACTCTTTGTGCCATGAAACTGAACATGTTTAAGTATCCTACAAACTGAACAGAGGACGATGAAAACCTCGTATTGAGTACTTCAAAACCTATCCAAACGTAATGTCCTGTCCAAAGATACAAAAATAATTCTTATTTGTGATTTAATTTGTTAGCGATCTAAATAAAAGTTAAGCATTGCTGTGTTTGTCGAAATGTGTAAACATTGGAGTAGTTCCCGAAAAATATACTTTAAAGGCTCCGAGTTACTAGATTGGTATTTTTCTAAATAATAAACATGAGTAGACCAACAAAAGCCCAAGTACAAATTATAAGTAGTGTAGGTTGTCACTAGCAAAATGGGAGATGGTCACATATTTATCTTTTTACAGATACCCGAAAATATCAACGTATTGTCTAGCAATAAAAATGTTCGGGCAGGGGTGCATGTGTATTCTGAAACTTTCCAGAATAAAACAAATAACGCTTGGAATTAATCCTAGCTTAATATTGGCTCTTCTAATATCTTTGAATACGTGAGTGGTGCTCAAATCACCGGATAAAGCTACCTATTGATAGTCTTTTTCGGACAGTACATTGCATAGTATTTAAATACGGTTACTAAAAACAACAGAGCACTCGATTTTTAATACTTTTGTTTTACTGCCAATAAATTCCGAGTGAAAACTAAGGACTCAATATGATCAATACGTTTTAATATCCTGTTTTGTTTAGTTTTTTGTAGTTTTCATTTGTTCTACATATTTTGGAGTAGAGAGCATAAACATTGTTTCTGATCACTCATGCAAAAATACACTCAGCATTATTTAAAATCGCAAGTATTAGGCCTAAAAGCACTTCTTAAAGCGCATAATTATAACGACCCTGTCTATTTAAAACAAAGAATGCTTTTAAAGCAGTGGTTATTAAATATAGTAGAATGTATTTGGAAGAAAACCAACAACCATTTGAATATCAAAGGTCTATGACTTTTAGTGTATAAGAAAGCAAACTGATTTATCTGAATTTTGTATAGTTATTCCAGTTATTCGAGCAAATAGTTTCAGCTGATGAACACCACGTGAGGGAAGTGCAAGTTTACTGTAAGTTGATTCAACCATGGCTTTTCAATGTAATGTAGGCAGCCAACTAGCTGAACAGAGCTGCATAGCTGTAAATATTTACAGTGAGATTGTATTCGGTTTTCAAACCATTAATTGCAGCTTTTGTGTCTCCTAAATGACCTCCAGTACCTCTGCGAACGTAAGTAATGGAACTGCATACGTACGTATGCCAAGCTTCGAATCCATCGAAACAAGTGGAGAGTCAAATTAGAAAGCCAGAGGATCCTTGAAGCTAATATAACAGTTCAGCTGTAAATAAGGCACTAGATTGAACAACTGGTTTTCATATGCTGACTTAATTCAAATTTGAATAATTTCGCACATATATATAAGTTATCTTGGACGTTAAGTTTGCCAAGAGATGACATAAAAAAGGTTGAATACACAAAATCCGTCGGCTTTAGTTTTAGGTAGTCATTCGTGCATTTATCCAATAAAATATGGTTTATAAATCACTAGTCATAACTAGATGTTCCGTGAAAAAAGGTGGCTTAGGATTTGAATTATGCAGCCAGAACAAACGAATAAAAAAGAATTTTACAGCTCAAAAAAATCCAGGGTAATAATATCTAAATCCACTCACCGTTAATACAAAGAATCGGCATAATTCCACAAAACCCCCTCCACCATCGCGCTAAAGCAAAATGACCTAGTATCTCTTCTGACCTAAGCAGTCAATGCAACTGATGATTTTAAACAACTATCTCTTATAACGTCCAATACACCATCTAAGAAAAAGCTGTTCAACAACAACTTCTAGTGCAGACAGTGTGCTCTTCATTGAGTGATTTCTTCTAGTGTGTACGAACAAGTGACAGTGAGGAAAATTTAGACATTAGGAAGGTTTAAATAGTTCAAATGGTTGTAGACGGAATAAAAGCTTTTTCTTAACTGGCTTCCGCTTCTACAATCCGTAGATCACTACTCCTGGTGGTTGTTAACCTGTGTACAAGTAAAGAAAGGGGAAAAAGTGGCGATTAAAATGGGAAAGTTCACTTGGTTCTGGGCAGATCCCAGACACACATCGAGTGGGTATCCAGTCGGCGTTTAGAGGATTCAGACGGAGTAGCCTAAATCACATCCTCAGGAAGAGCGTTCCGGGGTTTGACAGCCCCTAGGGAATAGGAGTTGTGCCTGACGTCTAGCCTGCTATGTTCCAGGCTTACTTTCTGTGCGTTTCCCCCAAGATTAGCGCTGCAGCTAAGATTTAATAAGTGGCTGAGTGGGTGGCCAGGTGTGCTCAGAATGTTGTAGGTCATTATCGTGTTGCCTCTTAGCCTTCTGTACTCCGGAGGATACAGATCCAGCGCAACCAGTAGTTCTTCATATATTTTGGACCTAAGTCCTCGGACGGATTTTATCGAACTCCTCTGGATGCGTTCTAAGCTTGGTTCGTCCTTCTGGAGATAAGGGGGGAAGACGGTAGTTCCGAACTTCAGATGAGGCCGTAAGAAGCTGTTGAAAATTCGGTGGAGGCATCTACGATTGCATTGCCCGAAAATTCGTCTGAGTCACTAATGCCAAGTCCCCACGAAGTGCGTTTCTGTCACGGTTGGCATAGGATTTTAAGTCTTGGGAGAATAAAACGCCCAAATCCTTCTCTGTCAGTGATGCTTCGAGTTCCGTACCGTTGATGCCACATGCATGAGATGCACAATGTTTTACATCTGTCGCCTTACACTGCTCAGGATTAAATGCAGGCCTGTTGTTGACTGCTCATTTGTGAAGTCAAGTCAAGTATTCCTGCAGAAAAACACTGTCTCCTTCACTTTCGGTTTCCCTCCTGAGTTTCACGTCATCGGCAAAAGGAAGGGTTTCGGAAGAGACCTATTGAGGCAAGTCGTTTATGTATATTAGAAAAAGAAGAGGCCCTATTACTGAACCTTAGGTAACACCACTAGGATATTCTGTTTCTTTAGACGCAGAAAATCACCCGGACCCTAGATGAACAGTCCCATAGATACGAAGACAACCAGTCGATGAGCGAAGGTCAAATCCCAATTAATTTTAGTTTATCGATAAGACAGTCGTGATTAACACTATCAAACGCCTTAGCCAAGTCCAGGTAGATAAAGTCAATTTGTCCTCGACCGTCAACAATGCTAGTCCACCTATCTACTGCAGTGGGCAAATTGGTAATGCAGGGGTACCCCTTTCGAGATCCATGCTGCTGGGAGAAGATAAATTTGTCTCTGTGAGGTAATCCCCCAGTCCATCGTATATCAACGATTCCAATACTTCGGAAGGAATGGATAGAAGTGCTGTCTGTCTCTATTTCTCTGGATTGCTTCATTGACCCCCCTTGAGGATTGGCGTTGCTTGGCCCAGCTTCCGAGAGTCGGGTACTGTCCCCTGATTTAGAGAACTCTTAAATAACTTACTTAAGGGTTCGGACAAGACTGGAGCTCCCTCCCACAGTACCGCAGGATGGATTTTACCTGGTCCCGGAGAGTTGTCTCTGGCGAGCGGTAGCAGTTTGCTCTGTACTAGCTCAACACTTAGGTTGACCACTGAGAGTCCTACTTCGTTAGTGGGATATTTGTAAGTTCCTGAGCAGGTGGACGATGACGAGAAGATTTTCATGCACTGGTCTGCCAGGGGCTTAGCTGCTTCAGTGTCGCTACCAGTCAGTCCGTTCTCACCTAGTAGTTGAGTGACTCCCGCTTCAGCCTGCCGGAATGAAGCAGCGTGGCTGAAGAGACTTCTCGGGTTAGACACAAATATGTTTGTAAGCCTGACCTGATGCCGCTGCCGATCAGCTCTCAAAGCCTTCGTATACATGTTTCTTGTCTGTTTGAATTGTCTGCATGTTCATTCGGTGCCAGTCCTTTTGTGTTCAGCCCAGTGATATCTCTTTAACTTAAGCAGTTTGCGAGTGTGGCTCCTTATTACCATAAGTAACTTGAGGCACTTCGGCCTCGAAAATGGAACAGAATGACTGGTTGCAAATTAATCTGACTTGAAGGCAGTATAACTGCTCCTGGTCTGCAGATGGTGGATAGCTTCTCGCTTACAACTTCCCAGTACCACGAGACTCAAGATATGCGTCCATACTCCTTTCGAAAGTATCAGGGAATAGGGCTGTAACGAGTGCTGCAGGAAGGCAGTTCCATGGTTTACAACCTCTAACTGCAAACGAGTTAGCTCTCTATGCCGTATACCCAACGAGTGACCCCTCAGGCATCGTTTACGATTAGAGCTCAGGAGTGATCTGTTAAGAGGGAGGGGGTTATGGAGAATGTGATACATCATGGCCATATCCCATACGGTCCTCTGGTGTTGTACTGGATACAGCCTAAGAGCAACCAAGCAATCCGGGTAGGGTTTGTACCGTAACCCAACCACTTTCCTTGTAGCTCTTCTCTGGACTCTTTCTGGGATGGCTGTGTTCTTCATCAAGCAAGGGGACATCAAGAGCGAATTTTTCTCAAGGTGGGGGTGTAAATATGGTTGCGCTGTGGTGAAAAGAGAAGTTGGTCTCCCTAAAGTCCGCGAAAAAAAGCCAGGACTCGACAGGCTCTGTTGTCTGCAAGGCGTCACTGAACTGAAATTAGACAGGTGCCAACTCTAACAGACTGCAACCTTGTGTAAAGGTAATCTCCGAGCCAAACTATTAGTTTTCCGTGTACACCCATAAGCCGAAGTTTCTGACATAGAATATTGTGATTTACCCTGCCAAAAGCCTTAGGAAAGTCAGGTGACAAAGTGTGAATGGGCTTTTTCTGCTCAACAGAGGGAGTTCAGCTATTCCAAGCTATTAGTAAGTTGATGTTACATGACCTTCCTGGTAAAAACCATGTCGGTAGTCGTTCAAGGCTGCATTCTTAAGTGAGCGATCACGAAATGAGTCGTTTACTACTTCCGTGACTGAAAAGATAAGGGAAATCGGCCTACAGTTAGACTCAAACAGTTTGTTTTCACCCTCATATGTGGGGACGACAGTTGATCTCTGTACTTCTTCATATCCACTTTGGGCGAGTCACTTGATGACAAGGACACTACTTTCTTTGGACGTCGGTTCCAGGGCCTGACTACTCGACACAAGAGCCCGAGGAGACTGGACACGTCTTTTGGTTTTGTATCTTCTCACTACGTCCTCCAAGTTGTCCTGACCTAGTGGCAAGGAAAGTAGAGGGAAGATCAGGTCCAAAGTAATTTCCCAGAGTCCTTTACGGTATGAATACGTCCTATCTCCAGGGGCTTAGCTGCTTCAGTGTCGCTACCAGTCAGTCCGTTCTCACCTAGTAGTTGAGTGACTCCCGCTTCAGCCTGCCGGAATGAAGCAGCGTGGCTGAAGAGACTTCTCGGGTTAGACACAAATATGTTTGTAAGCCTGACCTGATGCCGCTGCCGATCAGCTCTCAAAGCCTTCGTATACATGTTTCTTGTCTGTTTGAATTGTCTGCATGTTCATTCGGTGCCAGTCCTTTTGTGTTCAGCCCAGTGATATCTCTTTAACTTAAGCAGTTTGCGAGTGTGGCTCCTTATTACCATAAGTAACTTGAGGCACTTCGGCCTCGAAAATGGAACAGAATGACTGGTTGCAAATTAATCTGACTTGAAGGCAGTATAACTGCTCCTGGTCTGCAGATGGTGGATAGCTTCTCGCTTACAACTTCCCAGTACCACGAGACTCAAGATATGCGTCCATACTCCTTTCGAAAGTATCAGGGAATAGGGCTGTAACGAGTGCTGCAGGAAGGCAGTTCCATGGTTTACAACCTCTAACTGCAAACGAGTTAGCTCTCTATGCCGTATACCCAACGAGTGACCCCTCAGGCATCGTTTACGATTAGAGCTCAGGAGTGATCTGTTAAGAGGGAGGGGGTTATGGAGAATGTGATACATCATGGCCATATCCCATACGGTCCTCTGGTGTTGTACTGGATACAGCCTAAGAGCAACCAAGCAATCCGGGTAGGGTTTGTACCGTAACCCAACCACTTTCCTTGTAGCTCTTCTCTGGACTCTTTCTGGGATGGCTGTGTTCTTCATCAAGCAAGGGGACATCAAGAGCGAATTTTTCTCAAGGTGGGGGTGTAAATATGGTTGCGCTGTGGTGAAAAGAGAAGTTGGTCTCCCTAAAGTCCGCGAAAAAAAGCCAGGACTCGACAGGCTCTGTTGTCTGCAAGGCGTCACTGAACTGAAATTAGACAGGTGCCAACTCTAACAGACTGCAACCTTGTGTAAAGGTAATCTCCGAGCCAAACTATTAGTTTTCCGTGTACACCCATAAGCCGAAGTTTCTGACATAGAATATTGTGATTTACCCTGCCAAAAGCCTTAGGAAAGTCAGGTGACAAAGTGTGAATGGGCTTTTTCTGCTCAACAGAGGGAGTTCAGCTATTCCAAGCTATTAGTAAGTTGATGTTACATGACCTTCCTGGTAAAAACCATGTCGGTAGTCGTTCAAGGCTGCATTCTTAAGTGAGCGATCACGAAATGAGTCGTTTACTACTTCCGTGACTGAAAAGATAAGGGAAATCGGCCTACAGTTAGACTCAAACAGTTTGTTTTCACCCTCATATGTGGGGACGACAGTTGATCTCTGTACTTCTTCATATCCACTTTGGGCGAGTCACTTGATGACAAGGACACTACTTTCTTTGGACGTCGGTTCCAGGGCCTGACTACTCGACACAAGAGCCCGAGGAGACTGGACACGTCTTTTGGTTTTGT